ACTTCCTCCGCAAAGGCGAGGATGAGTGGCCGACAATGCGTCTCAGTGAGCCAAGATCTACTACTCACCTGGAGCAGAAGAACAACGCAAAGTCTGTCCAAGCACCGGTTGCCTTGGTAGCAGTTACAGCTCCTGACGCCGAGCTACCCTGGTTACTCGACCCGACACGATTCTCGAGTCTCAATCGTCTTCTCCGACAGCGCGCTTGGGTGACGCGCTTCGTGCAGAATTGCCGCGTGCCAACTGAGCTGCGACACACCGGTCCGCTATCCGTAGACGAGCTCGAGAGCAGCAAAACCAGTATCATTGCTGGTGCGCAGGAAGAGGCGCTGGCAGAGGAATATCGTCTTGTGAAAGAAGGCAAGCCCATCCCCACCTCGAGCAAACTCGTCAAGCTGCGACCTATGTTGAATGATGATCAACTGCTATGCGTTGACAGTCGACTGCGAAACGCGCAGATACTCGAGCAGCCAGCCAGAGGCCCTGTCATCCTGCCACGCGGGCACTGGGTCACTCAGCTAATTGTGAAGGAAGCCCATGAGCAGAGCCATCATGCTGGCGGAGTAAGTCACACGTTGGCTCTCTTGTCGCAGACGTATTGGCTGCTTGCTGGACGAGAGGAGATCAAAGCGTGGAAAAAGAAGTGTGCCCATTGCCAACGACAATCAGCGAAGCCAGGAATGCAGATCATGGCACCGCTACCGACCGTCCGTGTGTCTCTGCCCATGAGAGCGTTCTCCAGAGTAGCAGTGGACTACGCTGGACCCTTCACCACCAAACAAGGTCGCGGAAAGCCGCGCGCGAAGAGGTACCTGTGCTTATTTACGTGTATGCAGTCTCGCGCGGTGCACTTGGAGATGGCCGTTAGTCTGGACGTGGATGGATTCTTGAACGCCTTCATGCGGATGACGAGCAGGCGCGGTGTTCCACTACAGGTTGTGTCCGACAATGGGACCAACTTCGTAGGCGCTGCCAATGAACTGCGGAGGTTAGTGGCCGCGATGAATGAAGGCGTGGACCGACGATTAGCGGACAAGGGAATTCGGTGGTCCTTCAATCCCCCCACTGCTCCTCACTTCGGTGGCGTCCATGAGGCGCTCGTCAAGTCAGCAAAGCGCGCCATCTATGCGATCCTGTCGGGCGCGGAAGTAAATGACGAGGAACTCATGACCGCAGTGACTGGCGCAGAGGCACTACTGAATTCAAGGCCACTGACGTACCAGTCGGCCGACGCGAGAGATCTGCTGCCACTGACGCCCAACCATTTCCTGTATGGACACCAAGGCGAGCCATTTGTTCCCAGAGGAACGGACACCGTGGAGCAAGGCCATCGACAGCGCTGGCGGGTCATCCAGAGTCTGGTGTTGCAGGTGTGGAAGCGCTGGATGACCGAAATGCTCCCCCTGCTTCACCCGCGAGCAAAATGGCGCCAGCCGCAGCCCGATCTCGGTATCGATGATGTTGTGCTGATCGTCGACGCTGCTGCACCACGAGGCCAATGGAGGCTCGGCCGGGTAGAGCAGCTGTTCCCCGGAGTCGATGGGCGGGTCAGAGTGGTGCGAGTGAAGGTCGGTGACACTTCACTTGTCCGCCCCATCGTACAGCTGTGCAAGATTGCCGCGGATTGACTCTGTGTGTGAGCAGCACATTTTTGCTCTTATCTCTCCTCATCTCTCTCCACTGCTTTCTGTTCGGTCTATTTCTTTATCGTATAATTTATTGTGTACTTGATTAAAGCTGGTTTAATCAATGTAGGGGAGGATGTTCAGAAGGTCTTCCGATGAGACACACTGATTGTGACGTCGTGACGCATTCCATATATCGCATGTTACATACTAATAAGTTTACTACTCGCTGTGCCTTGCACGCCGCCACACACTTGGACTATGCATGCCTTTTCCGTGTGATGCGTCGTATGCACCACGTGGCTGCTGTTATTTGAATTTATTTGAATCTCTCGTGCTTATCTTTCTGGATATAACCTAATTGTTTTCCGTTCTGTTCTGGCGGTTTTTAGTCTTGCCAAGACGTTGTCAGGCAGTCAGTTTTTTGCTTGTCAGAAAAGTAATGAAAGTTGATGAACACCTCTGAAACTCACTGTCCCAGTCGGCCTCATTTCCATGGGCGCTTATGCGAACAGCTCGAGTTGGTTGTTTCCATGGTTTCGTTTGAGCTAGTGCATTACTGTGCAGCGAATTTCCCAAAAGCATCTCAACTGATAATAGAGAGGTTGCGCACAGTGAAAATTCGTAACATCTTGACAGTCCGGGTTCGAGTAACGAAAGCTGCTACAAAGATTTTTCCAAGAGCGACCGGAACCGAGCAGATCTACTTTGAAGTACGAACATATGTTTCGCCAGGTGGAGTGTTGTAGTTGTAAGTCTTAACACTACTTCTCCACCACTGCATCAGCTCAACCGCCACCACTGGACTGCCTTTTTACACTCTTTTTATTGACGAATAACCAAGAACACGGAAAACAACTACATCTTGACAAGACGACAGACAAAAGACTAGCTCACACAGTTTCGCGCATGCGCACAACGCCACCAACCAATGACGCGTGTCCACAGCGACCAAGACGAAACAAACACGTGACACCAAATCTACCACAATATCCCGACCAAAAAAACACATACCGTCCTCGGTATGACCAAATAAAACACAATACGCAGAGAGACGCAACCGCAAACAGCAAAAGTAGCCACAGGACCAACGCATATACATGTAGCTCCCCAGAAAAAAACAGGGCAACCAAAGCCAGAAGAAAGAAAGAGAGGTGAATGTTAAAGAGAAGAGAAGAAACACTGCATTGCTGTCTAGCCACGCACACACAAAATAAAACACAGGCTAAACCTAAGCCTAAAAACCGATGAGCCCTGCCCATCCACACAATGCCAGCCAAACCCATGACTGTCACCGAAAAAACAAAAATAAATAAAATATATACATGACAAGGACAAACAAGCAGCGAGTCTAGCTCCCAGCAATGAACCGGGGCTCACCCTGATCGGACGTTCGTTGCCTTCGATGTGGACTGCCACAAGGAGAACCAACCGTGGTTCACCATGATCAGACGCCAGTTCCCAAGACAAGTAGCAATTCAAACAAGCTCCCGTATGCACGCACGCATGCACACACATAAACACTCACCGGAAAACAAAGAAAAGAAGAGAGATATGGAGAGAAGAAAGGCGGCGCATTCCCAGCCAGCACACGACTTCGGAGCAGCAGGAAGCCAACTGCGAAGCTGATACTCCACTCGTCTCAGGACAACGAAACGGCGGACGCACAGCGACACTTGAACACAGCTCAGCGGAGGGCGTCAGCTTGATCGAATTGAGTAGACGACGACGACGGGACGACGACGACGGGACACCGGACGACGACACAGCACGACGACACAGCACGACGACACAGCTCCACGACGAACGTTCGAACACGGACAGGGGTGACGAATGAACCAGGACAGTCCAGCAGTGACGGGAGCAACACACATCTCAGGGTCGTGAGCTGCGGAGGCAGAACTCCGCGTCGAGAGATAGTTGGGCGCCAAATGTTGTAGTTGTAAGTCTAAACACTACTTCTCCATCACTGCATCAGCTCAACCGCCACCACTGGACTGCCTTTTTACACTATTTTTTTCTCCTTTTTTTCTTTTTTCTTCTTCTTTCTTGCTCAGTGTTGCCCTCGCCGACCCGGCCATGGTGCTGGACCTCATCGAGGAGTGGAAGTCGTTTTTCGAGTCGCTTCCCGAAGACATGCGTCCGGCTTCCCTTCTGTCCGCTTCCTCGCCGGTGGTGGCTGCAGCGCCAGCGCCGCGTCCGGCTTCTCTTCTGTCCGCTTCCTCGCCGGTGGTGGCTGCAGCGCCAGCGCCAGTGGTGCCTCGTCGCCGACGGTCCCGCCGCTCTCGCAAGAGGCGCCGGGCCCGCCGAGCGGCGCAGCGTCGCGCCGCCCTCGCTGCTCCGTCGCCGGCTGGTGGTGTGCCGGACAGTGCCCCTTCCCCTCCCCATGTGGGGTCGGAACTGGTCTCCCTCGTTGAGGTCCATTGTGTCAACGAATTTGCTTAATTTTTTCCTCATTATGTATTTTTTGTTCGTCGTTTCCTTTGGGTGAGTGGTGTCCTAGGTTGGTGCTGTTCTGTAAAAGATCCCTACAAGGATAGGGCATAAACAGGAGGAGCAGCTCGCCAGCCGGGGTCCTCTTTGAAACTGTTGCTTGCAGGTTCCTCCATTGTTGCACAGTTTCGCGGGGCTCCCGGCTGGTGTCAACCCTCCTGGCCTACTCGTCACTTGCCCAACGGTCTCGTCTGTGTTTTTTTGTTTATATATTCGCCTATCTATGTTGTACATATTTCATTTCTTTCTTCTTCCTGTCTTCTTCTCCTGTCTGTCTTCTCGTTTTGTTTTTCTTCTCTCCCATCCTCAGGAGAGGATGCATTTTTTTCATGTGGAAGTATGTTGTCCCTGCCCTTTTGGCACGTGTGTGCCCTTTTTGGCACGTTGGTGCGGACCGCGCGCGGTCTGCGCCGGTTTCATGATTATCGTACATGTTCTTGTTGTTGTGCGCATGCGTGCATGCTTATCGTGCGCATCCTGGTTGGTTTGGGTGCCTTCTTCCTGAGACTCTCCTTGGAGCAACAATGATAATCTGTCCTCTGAGTGTGGCGTACGTGTGATGAATGAATAAGAGAGTAATCGGAAGGGCAATCGTGCGAGGGAATAAAAACCCCCGACGACAGGAGTACTAATATACTAATATCTTACAACTCCCTGTCTTGACTCTTCGTACCCTTGTTGACCTTCTACGAAAAAGTTTACACATTGTGCGCAACCTCACGGTTTACGAATACTCGTTTGCTTTTTCGTTAAAACATTTCGTTACAGTGCTATGTAATTTCGTTGTGCGCAACCTCTCTGATGCCATCGCATACCCTCTATATTGTTGAGAAGAGAGTGTACATGAGTGATAGGTATACGACATTGGAATAATATACTCACATCCACACATATTGTTGCCAATGCAAACAGTTCCGCCGCCACAGGACTGACTACATGATCCTCCGCCGGGTGCTCCCGACTCGGTGTGACAATCTGCATTCGGCGCGACAAACGTGCGCGCAGACGTAAACACACACACACACACACACACACACACACATTAACTACAACACACAGCAGCTTGCGGTTAGGAGGGTGCTGGCCAGTGAAGTGAGAGGCTACGGAGAGAGCAGGATCTTGGCGGAGCCAAGAGGATAGTCACGTACGAGGGACGAAGACCGAGAGCCCCGAGTAGCCGAAAAGGAGCATGGCCAACACCCCTTTATTTACTTTATCAAAGTAAATGAGAGATGAGAAATGGGAGGTGGGTGGGTGAAACACAACGATCTGACAAGAGTGATCCACACACAGAACGGATCGTAATATATAACTAGGCGAATTTTAGCATGACACGTTGAGTGCCCACGACGCATGCCGCCTATGTTGAGCGTCGCGCATGAATGAATGTCACGTTGAGTGTCACGTTGAATGACACATAGAATGCCACGACACATAGAGTACCATGTGAGCATGCACCAAGACGTTTGACCGACATGGATACCGTGATGTACAGTGCACGTGACTGTAGCCAGCAGCAAGGCATGAGCATGCAGTAAAAACGCTAGCAATCATAGCAGCACAATTTGAGTGTTAGCACGAAGCAGCCGCGCGCACCCATTAGTCTGCATTATTACTATAATGCTACACACACACACACACACACACACACACACACATGCGTCCATGGAGCTATGAAGCCGAGACCTCTGGTCGGCGGAGCTTAATGGGCCCCACCACCACACTCCATCATTCACCCCAGTGTCTGGAGATATGTGGATTTTGTAGAAAAAAAGAAGAAAAAAACACACACACACACTCCTTAGAATTGTTGGTGGATACAACTGTTGTACATGTGGCTGCGCTTGTGTCTCTTCGTTGTACATGCAGTTGCACGTGTAGCTCTTTGTCGTACATGTGGCTGCTTTTGTGTCTCTTTGTTGTACATGCTGCTGAGTCGTGGTACATGCTGCTGCGCTGTTTTTGAGTTCTGCGTACATGCGGCTGGTTGAACGCCCCGCAAAGATGCATAGAAGCTGGTAGCAATTGAATTCTGCCCCCGACACTTATCCCTATGAGAAGGAATGGCAAACACAAAGCTCTACACCTGATGTATAGGGTGAACGGCTAACCAACTAACGAGCCATGGAGGGAAAGATGACTTGACAATATAGGGCAAGAGGCTGATTGGCTGTTCCCTAAAATTGTTTCATGCGCTCACCAATGATCTGACCACATTGACCATTGTACAACAACAACAATGACCTGCTTTCAAACACAATCAGCTCCTGCAGCGCTCATCCTCTCCCATGCTTGTAAAATTCAAAGTGACGTAAATTGCTTTCCAACTGCATAGCCCGCAGCCCCACTCACAGCATCTCACCTTCTCATAAACTTATCTCTTACTTGCCAATGGTGCCATCATAAGAATATAGAATTCAAACAGAAACTCACCAATACAGGTTCCGGCAACGCATGCTTGTCCATTGCCGCATGCCCCACCACCAGCTGCACATAACGCACAAAAGAGCGTGGTTGAAGCTCCGGCTCAGTGGGACTTCCAAGTGTTCTTTGAGGCGTTTCACAGCATGGCAAGAGCCTTTACATTCTGAGATTCCAACGCACTTCATGAATATGTACATAAATGTGCCAAATGTTATGCAAACCCATCCAAGCAAAAAGCTGATCAGTCCATCACTATTGGGCCATGAAATGGAACTAAGATGATTTCCACGCTAGTCATTTGCCTGCTTTTGCGGCTCACACCAGAAATAGAATGACTTTTCACGACAGCAGATATTGCACATATAGACAGGGGCGTCGGACACGGTACGGTCACTACGGTATTGACCGTACCACTTTTTGCCCCAGGTACCCGTGACCTTACCACACTATATCAAGAACATTCATTGAGTTTTGTAATCATTGCTGTCTGATGATCGCCACAGACGTGAAACTCTGAGTCACAGCCAACCCAAGCTCCGTATCCCATTCTATTCTTTTTTTATGAAGCTCTGCACCCCTGTGCATTGAGCACTCTTTCGAGGACCACACCCAACTTTCCGTGTGTATACTTCAAATAGAAAGTATATGAACCCTGGAACCAACAAAGGTGGCAGGTACAACATTACACCTTCAAGCAGCTGAGCCAGTTGGCAACAGACCCAACACAATCAGGCATAAGTGTACCCACGAACCGAGTTTGGTTTTTGACCCAAAGAAGCCTCCTGGAAGGAGGATACTAAGCATTTTCTTCATCATATGTTTAAGAACTACATTTGGAAGCATCTTGGGTACACAAGATAGACTGTGTCTTGGTTCTGCCCTTGGTGAGCCACTTTTTCGAATTTACGGGTACCGAAATTTCCATCGGGTGCTGAATTGTGAAATGGTTTAGCCTGCAACATTTTGTCCATGGACATATTGATTTTTGTGGCTTTTTGTGATCCTTGAGCCCCAAGGAAACCGATAATGGACAGTTTTGATGGTGTCACCAGGCACTTTAGGCCCCTACGAAACAATATAGGTATCAAAATATGGTATTTTTAGACCAATTCCGAAAATAGCATTTTCAGAAAATCTGATCATTCTTGCCTTCTTGACTAAATAACACTACCAATGACCTAGTAGTATGGTAATATTATTTTAGAAGAAGTTATTTTCATGCTGCAACCTCCTTTGGACATACCAGATAGTCTGTGCTTGGAAAGGTACATGTATAATTATGTCATGTAGCCTTCAGTCCTAGCACATTGATTATACGAGTAATGTACATGTACATGTAAGGCAGCGAGGTTTCATAACAACCTCGACCATGAAACTGGCTCATGAATAATGTGAAAGCAGGCATTCAAAATCAGGCACACTAAACACTCACACGCGTGCGTGCACACGCACATAAACACCCACCCACATGCGTGCACACTCATGCACGCATCACTTATGATTATAACACTACTAGTCCATAGTAGGACTTAGGGTAAATAAAAGCATGAAAACCAGCCACTGCACCGGGCATGCATTGCTGGTTGTCACTTGCGTGGATAGCAGCAGACTGCAGAAAAACGCATGCATGAAGGGCGATATGCATGGACACACGGTGGCGTACACACCTAGTCATACGATATAGTGTACTGTCATGATCTCTTGGCAATTCATTTTTGTGTCTCAAATGCGGTTCACAAATGTGCATTCATATGCATCTCCTGTACTGTAAAGCCACTGCCACACTGTCCTTGCGGACACCAGAGAGGAGAGCCATACAGAACCAGCACTCTGAGATGTGTCGTGTCACTGAGCTCAGGATACTCGACAAGGATCCACAGAAAGTTTCAAACGGCACTCGTGCGACTGGAGTTGCAAGTGGGTCCACTTACCAGCGAGTGGGCAGCCACTTCACGCTCCACAGGTAGTCCATGCTAAATTCCAGTACCAGTACTAGTATCACTCACTACGTTCGACGTCGATGTCTTCACTGACTTCAGCCTGCTTTTCTCATCCTTCTTCGTCAGTAATTTGTTCGTGGCCACCCCGTACCGCTTCAGCAAAGTTTTCAGAAAAAATCAAGCAGCGTCGAAACGCCCTTTGTTTTGCATTAGCCATGGCCAGTGATTCTTTCCAGCGCAGACACTGCCACGGCTACAGAAACACTGCAACGAGTAGAACTACATCCTGGAACAACTGCGAGCACAGAGAAATCAAAAAACTTCTTTCTGAAAGCAGCTTGTTTCCACATGGAACACGATATTTTTTTAATCTCGCGGCAAAAACAGATTTTCGAGGTGCCCTTTTTACACTGCGCTGCACAACTGTTCGGAGCCTCCTTAAATACATGTCAGGGGGAATGCCCCGTCGCATGCCGCCCGCATCGAGGGCGAGCGCCACACATGGATGCCACGTTGAGTGTCGCGTTCAATGTTACGTAGATTGCCACGTTGCATAGAGTACCACGCGTGCATGCACCATGTTGTTTGCACAACATGGTCACCGTGATGTGCGGTGCACACAACCGTAGCCAGCAGCAAAGCATGAGCATGCAGCAACAGCACTATCAAACATAGCAGCATAGTTCGAGCGGTAGCACGAAGCTGCGAGCACCCAAAATTAGGGCTGAAACAATTATACCGATAACTCGCATATCGATCGTTAAGAGTGCGATCGATAATCGTTAGTGTTCAAAACGAGTACTAACGATTTTTTATGCATGCATATCAGTGACAGTATTCTAGCCCTTGCACTCCATCCGATAGTGGAATACGAGTGCAATCATGTACTTTCAAGCACAGTAAAATTGATTTGTGGCTTTGAAAGGGATTGGGAGAGAAGAAGTCTTTTTGGTTTATTTGCGGGAGAAGGTGGAGATGAGAGCAGTTGCCAGCGGGTGATGACAAGATTCTTCGCGCAAGAAACAACATGAAATTCTCTACTTGAGTAGTTCATGTTGATAAAACCAGCCAGATATCTACAGATGTCAACAGGTGCGGTGCCACAAATGTCTAGCGTAGCAAAGGCATCATAGAATTTCTTTATACACTGGTGTTCGATAGAGCCGACAAGAATCGATAAAACCAATTTATCGATCGTTATTGATATTGGTTGATCGTTAGGAGTTATTGAATGATCGTTTCAGCCCTACCCAAAATGCTAGACACACAAGCAACCCTCAGCAGAATGTTGACAATAGATTTGGTCTTGGAACATCACCCCCCCCCCCCCCCCTACCCTCCTCCTACCCCTCACCTTCCCTTTTAAAGAACTCAAGCACCAACTGATAACTTACGTGAGATATGGAAGATCCCTTTCTGAGTATATGCAGACGAGGAATTGCTTGTCGATGTGAGACTAAGCACGCGTAAGTAGAAGTCCCCTGCTGGGACATCTGTTAGTGTTACGGTGCTGGCGGACGTGATGATCGACAATGCATTGCTGCCACCATGAACTCGACCAATCTGCATGCTCAGATTTGCCGTGGGGTTAACCGTCGGTAAAGCCACTGTTACCCTCGCTAGGTGAGTGTCGCATGCGATTGCAGTGATGCTGACAAACGGGAACATCGGCCACGTGTACACAGGGTAGCCTGTAGGGAAAGGAGACGAGATCATGATGAGAGGAATTATTATCGCGTGCGGATTTTGGGGATACGATTACCGGTACCATATTTCCCATCTATAAGTCGCACTCGTTTATAAGTCACTCAACTTTTTTCGGGTTCGAGCCGTATGTTTCGAAATAGTCACGTTGCTAGGATGTCATACTCGATTATAAGGCGCACCCCCTTCTGCATCCAAGAAGTTTAGTGTAAAAAGGTGCCACTTATCAGGGGCGTCGGAAGGCATTTTAGTGTGGTACGGTCAGCCATCTGAAGTACAAGTTACTCGTGGGAAAGGGGTGGCTGAGACGACAAATTTGGACATTTAGAGTCCAGATCGTTGTGTTTTTTTTGGTTCACGGGGTACCTGGGGCAAAAAGTGGTACGGTCAATACCGTAGTGACCGTACCATATCCGACGCCCCTGCTTATATTCTGGGAATATGGTACGTCATGAGTGGCTACAAGTTACCACTCATGCAAATAGGCGTGCCTGCTGAGCTTACGTACGTACACGTGTATATCACATGCAAGCACATAATTTCAGTACGCACTTGCCCATACACACACGGACACAAACGAACAGACATAATTCATGTTATATATATATATACACACACACACACAAACACACACACACACTCTTACACACACACAAACAGCCCCTTTTTCTCTCATACATTCACCCGCACACAAACACTCGTAAATGACAAGCAAAGTAGACCACATTCTCTTTGTAGGAGACCAAACAAAATTGAATTAGCACATACGGCAGATTGCAATACAAGAGCGAGTGTATTTTCAGTGAAGAAATGGAATTCCAGGAAAGCATGTGGCTTTACCAACAATGATATTGTGTGCTGTAATACCGTAAAAGCCTGTGTATAGGCCCCGGCTAATAGAATAGCAGCTTTGATTTCCTGGGCGTACACAAGGGCACGGGCGTTATTTTGGAACCGGGCGAATACTTGGAGTACAAATGTTGAAATTCTCCCATGGCTCAATACGACTCGAAACTGAGTCCACTTCATTTTTAGCCGAGCATGCACACTATAAATACAGTATCCCTGCTTCAAGGAACCAGAAACCGTGTTCTGGTTGGGAAAAGCGATCCTGAAATACATCCATCAACATAGCAGTAAGTATTGGGCATCGCTTCATGTACATGCTGGCAGCCCTGGGCGTATACATGGGCATGGGCGCTATTTTGAAACAAAAGTGTTGACTTCCTCTGACTGGGCGTGTACACGAAGGGTGGGCGTAATTTCGAGTGGGCGTATACAGGGGCTTTTAAGGTATAGTAGTAGTCTGTTAAAAATTCCCGTTTCATTTGTCTTCCCAAGACCCCAACACCGAGCGGAATCCTGTTTTGACCGGACAATTGTCTGTAAACCAAAGTGCTGTGGATCGAACGTGCATCCCTGGATCAAGCGGAATCCTGTCATAGCAGGACAGTTAAAGCTGCACCGAGGGCGTCCGGTCAGCGCAGGTTGTACTCTGCCTGATCTCACTTATACTCCAACACATGTCAAGTGCAGGGACCCCTAGTAAAATGCAACGTTGGTCGTTGTAGGCAAGTGATGTTGTGGACGTCAAAAAGCCAATACCGACCGCGACAGAAATGCCTACAGTGCACAGGGCTGTGCTCATTTTTAAACTCATTTAAAATGCTATAGGAAAGGAAATGGACCAAGGAATTACAAGTTACACTAGACTGTCCGCTAACACCACCGACTTGTAGTTGCCCGGTCCTTCTTCTTTTCTATAAAATCATCATTGGCTCTCCATCCGAGTCATTTAAAATTAAATCCAATTGCATCAGTCCAGTTCGCGCCGTGCACGGGGGACAAAACTCGATGTGACCTTGGCTTGCATTGCGCCCCGGCATGACATTGACTTGCATAATTGGATATAATTGAGCAGTACTGGATTACACTTCTAAAAGAACTATGATGACAACGATTGACCAGTCCATTAAGAAACATTGTCCAGCCAAAAAAAAATTAAAAAAATTCACGGTGTTCGCTTGAGACTCAGTTAGACTGAGTTTTCAGTATCCGGAAAACCGGACACCACAGAAAGGTATGTTATCACATGGATTGCTAAAGATTTTTGACTTGTCCGTTAACTCAAGCACAGCTACTTGCATGCTTAGAAGTTCTCCATTTCGCAAACCCTTTCCACTCTGATGCTGAGCCTGGTCGAAAATCTGGTGAATGCAAAGTCTGTGTTCACAGTAAAGAGGCTGTTCACGAGATGGTAAAGTACTCAATTCGAGCAAGAGTACAGAACACCCAATAATGTGCAACTCCAGCCATGGGGTCCAGGGCGGCAGAACTTCACATCACGTGATGAAATCCGCACACAATAGTTGCACCCTGTGCATGATAGATGCAGGGTCGTACGCAACCCTGCTTTGCGTTCAACTCGCTTGTGATCACTTTGCACTGCTTGCCAGCGTAACGTTTTGGACCGTGCCAAGTGAAGTGAAGTTCTGCCGTCGCAGCACCCTATAGAGGTTGCGCAGGCAGTTGCACACTCTTGGGGGTTATGTACTCTTGATGCGAATGGCAAGCTCAAGTTTCACGGTACAGCCTGACGAGGTCTCACCTGTTGGTGGGGTGCCGGTGTAGGTAAGTGAAATTGTGTAGCGCTCCGGGATGTACATATTGACCCGCGATCGGAAATACGTGCCCTGGTGTCCGACCTGCATCAGAATGCGGATTGGAACAACGCTGAGGCGGACCGTGAAGTTGTGCGTTTCAAGCCACTCGTCTGCCACCTGGTCGTAGTACTCCACCTCTGCTTCCAAATTATGGACGACATACTGCATGAAGATGGTGGTCAGGTTGGGAGTATGCACCATAACATCTGTAGTAGGCGACAGATAGGGGCCGGGAATGGGTGAAAGGATAGGTAGATACAGGATAGGACAATTACGACCGGTAGACTGTCATAGATAGAAGTGCAAGCACTGCTACTATAAGACCAGATATTTTAGCGTCAATTAGACCTTTGAGGACTACCCAAAACCACCTGGATTCCTACCATTTTCAGGCGAAAAATCGGTATTTTCAAAAATTGATCTAGTGTCATAAAATTTGGTTATAAAGAGACATAGACATCAGTAGGCAACAAAAACCAAAGTTTCTTCATCATATATCCATTATAGAGGTCAGAATGGTCAATTCAAAATAGGTGTATGTTGCGATTTTCCATCGCCTTGAGTATCAGTATTTTCAAATTTTTCATTCTCTACAATTTCAATTGCGCCTGCAGTATCGCCACGAATTTCGCCAACATCGACCTCGCTGTCATCCTCAGAAACATCAAAGGGATCACATGGTGCACCCTCACTATCGCTGTTCATGAAGATAACATCGAGGGGCTCAGACAAGGAGACACTTGACAGGTTACGAGCCATCGGCACTGCCAACAAATTTTCAAATTCTAAATACTTTCTCGATCGGCGCATTCGAGTTTTTACTCCAATGTGGCCGGTTCTTCATGGGAGCGGCGCGAATCGACTGCGACATATCTCACCCAATCCATTGTCAGGCTGCTCCGGTTCGTCATCGCCACCAGTGTGATCAACAACGCCTTGCGTCATGCGAAATAGCACATCATAGTACATTCGAGATCAGCGGGAAGAAGATGACGACGTCCACTAATTTAGTATCTGTGCACACGAATCTGCTGTGTGTGTTACTCTGTGTGTAAGCTATGGCATCATCGCCTGTGGTTCCATGCCTAGCATGTACATCTGACCCATCCTGCAAAGTTTGAATGACGTAAGTTGAGCGATCGCTCCGCGAAACATACTTTTGAAATTCTCTTCTTAGTGTCACGTCCCAGAATAAGACAACTGCTGCCTGATAGTCCTGTGACAGCAGGATCTACGTAGTGAGCAGCTCTGTGCTGAGCTGTCACGCCCTTTTTAGTACAACGTGGTTTGGCCAGTGTCTTGTCCCACGTGCTTAGCATGTAGGTTGAGCGACACGCGCTTTCCCACGTAGGTGACATGCCTTCTTGGCATGACACATCATGTGATCCAAGGCCGGAACCTGGTCAGGTAGGTTCTCGCGTTGTACGTTTCCTGGAAGTGCTTCACTTCCTGGAAATGTGACTCCAGGCTTTGTGCAAAACCACGTCACTACGACGTTCTACAGGTTTCCACGATGCCTCGGTGCTTCGTGCAAAGAGCCAAGACTAATAATTAATATGACATTGTATGACAAGAGCTAAGTGCAAGACAGGAGACGTGTGCAAGAACCAAAACCGTCACCGCGCAAGAGGTCAGAGTATCACGCAAGCAAGACCAAGAATGCAGCAGAACTTACCATAAGAAGCCGCTGAACTATGGCACGTTGGGTGAGCGGGCTCCCCAACGTGACCCTCATATACTCACATTGTACTCTAACGTGGGTGAGCGGGCTCCCCACGTCCCAATTTGGTCTTTCTTCTCTCGATGTCTTTCTTTCTCTTTCTTCTCGAATGATCACCGTACGTATATTCTGCATTTCTGCTGACTGGCTGCGCACATTCCGGTTTGACTTGTTCTGCTATTTCCTGGAATTACCTCGCCATGATCACGCCATTATATCTCTGAAGCACCCTATAAAAGAAGCTCTCATTCTCTCTTTTACTTCAGTTCTAGTCTAGTCTAGTCTAGTCTAGTCTAGTCTAGCAGTCGAGACTCGGTCTCAGCTCTCTGTCTTCGTTTACTTTGAGCTCGGATTTGATACTACTCACAACGTAAAACTAACAGTCTCTGTCTGTTGATCGTGTGGGGTTGAACTTGGACCAAGCCAGCTATATTGGTTGGCCCCTGGGTTGTGTTGGGCTTGTCGTGAGGCCACACGTCTATATTCAGTCGCCGCTCGTAGTGATTTCGGGGTCCGGTCACTCGGAGCCGGGGATGCGACATTTGGTGCTGTGACCAGGATGGTCTAAGTTCTCCTCACTCCGTAACGGCAACGACGCTATGTCCACAGCAGTCTTTCGTGAACAACCTTGTCTCTGATGGCAGGTTCTTGGCGATAGACGTGGCAGAGCAACAGCAGTGTTGGACGCTCCAACTTGGTACGAAGAAAACTCCGAGTGCGTTTCTCTTTCGTATCCAGCACTGGCTTTCGTTCCGTATCTCGTGTTCCTGTAGCGCTGCATGCAGTGCGAGTTCGTAGTGCACGACGAGCTGGCTTTGCTGCGGACTACATGGCGGACACCAAGGTGCGAAATTTATTGTCAGTTGCACGATCGATCGAGGAGTTGTTTGCATTCATGCAGTTCTCAAGTACGAGTGCAGTGCGCGTTTGTCACAGTCAGGTTCAGATATGGAAGGGTTCGTGAACCCGTGTACCATGTGTACGCACATGAGCCGTAAACAGGGCTTGGGTCCTCTTTACGGAGCGTTGTGAAAGTAGTCACTACGACTGGAGCACGGAGTAGTGCAGTGTAGTTTTCAAGTTTCGACAAGAAAACGCCACTGTTCGGACATGGTGTTTGTTGAGACCGCTTGAAGCTCTTGAAGCTTGACAAGTCGTCTCTTCAACGATGAGGCCTTACTGACATTCGAACTCAGTTTGTTCTCAGTCGCGAGTGCTGTTTGAAGACCCGGTTGTTTCATGGCTGAAACGATGGGAGGATGCAGACCACGTCGTTGGTTGTGGACGAATGCAATCTCGTTCTGTGTGTCGATGCACCAGACGAAGTTTTGTGTGACGCCCAGCTTTGGTGCTGGAGGACGCAGTTTTATCTGCGAATGTTCTTGACGATCATGTCAGTCGCGAGGATGGGAGTTCTGACCTTGTTGTCGATCTTCAGTCTCCAGACGTTCTGTTTGTGAAGAAAAAAAAGTTTGTGGAGAGGATGGCCGAACAGTACATGACCTACTAGTATGTGCTGGAGTGTATACTCGTTACTCGCCGCGGTCCTTGTCCTTGGTGAAAGTTGACCAGTTTCCTGAAGAAGGAACTGTGTCCTGTGAAAGTGTGATGTTGATGGGTGCCTTTGCATCCTCAACACATGACTGGACTGTGCACCGGTTCGGGTTGTGTACGGCTCAGAGGAGTCAGTTGGTCTCTGTGGATGAGGCGCCCGGATCGGTCAGTTGTAGCCAATTTCGGTTGGTGGTGATGAGCTTGCGTAGTGAGCAACGCGTTACGGAGAAGGGGACGGTGGTGACCATACAGGCCAGGATGGGATTCCTGGGGCCGAAGAAGTATGGTCTGCGCTTCATATAGGACGAGGTCCTAGAACTGAAGTGGAAAGGCTGTGGTGGGAGAGGATGATTTGGATATGGATCCCTCGAGCACAGTGTTGGCTGATCAGGGGACGCCCTGTGTCGAGGAGCCTGGTAGGCGAGACTCATCTGGGGATGATGAGTTGTTGCGAGTGAGGTCCCAATTTGCTCGTTACCGGATGGATTTTACTACGAGCTCTTTACCGATCTGGTTTCACAACTGTGTAGCACCATCGGATTGAGTGAATGCTTTATGTGCCTGGCACCTGGCGAGGAATTGTATTTTCTCGTGAGCAGTCAGTGATATTGTTCAGTCGTATGAGCCCGATACGAGTGATATGCTGTATTCGGCTGATGACATGGTGTTCGCACCAAAACCTGTGGTGGATTGGACTTGCATCCTGCATCTCCAGTTGACTTACCTATTGTATCCGTCGCGGAGCCTGGTGGATGACACTGGCAACGTCGCGGTATCTCACCGACTACCATATCGGTCGAGGATAGTCACGGGGACGTGATTCTTCAACGGCGGGGGAAATGTCACGTCCCAGAATAAGACAACTGCTGCCTGATAGTCCTGTGACAGCAGGATCTACGTAGTGAGCAGCTCTGTGCTGAGCTGTCACGCCCTTTTTAGTACAACGTGGTTTGGCCAGTGTCTTGTCCCACGTGCTTAGCATGTAGGTTGAGCGACACGCGCTTTCCCACGTAGGTGACATGCCTTCTTGGCATGACACATCATGTGATCCAAGGCCGGAACCTGGTCAGGTAGGTTCTCGCGTTGTACGTTTCCTGGAAGTGCTTCACTTCCTGGAAATGTGACTCCAGGCTTTGTGCAAAACCACGTCACTACGACGTTCTACAGGTTTCCACGATGCCTCGGTGCTTCGTGCAAAGAGCCAAGACTAATAATTAATATGACATTGTATGACAAGAGCTAAGTGCAAGACAGGAGACGTGTGCAAGAACCAAAACCGTCACCGCGCAAGAGGTCAGAGTATCACGCAAGCAAGACCAAGAATGCAGCAGAACTTACCATAAGAAGCCGCTGAACTATGGCACGTTGGGTGAGCGGGCTCCCCAACGTGACCCTCATATACTCACATTGTACTCTAACGTGGGTGAGCGGGCTCCCCACGTCCCAATTTGGTCTTTCTTCTCTCGATGTCTTTCTTTCTCTTTCTTCTCGAATGATCACCGTACGTATATTCTGCATTTCTGCTGACTGGCTGCGCACATTCCGGTTTGACTTGTTCTGCTATTTCCTGGAATTACCTCGCCATGATCACGCCATTATATCTCTGAAGCACCCTATAAAAGAAGCTCTCATTCTCTCTTTTACTTCAGTTCTAGTCTAGTCTAGTCTAGTCTAGTCTAGTCTAGTCTAGCAGTCGAGACTCGGTCTCAGCTCTCTGTCTTCGTTTACTTTGAGCTCGGATTTGATACTACTCACAACGTAAAACTAACAGTCTCTGTCTGTTGATCGTGTGGGGTTGAACTTGGACCAAGCCAGCTATATTGGTTGGCCCCTGGGTTGTGTTGGGCTTGTCGTGAGGCCACACGTCTATATTCAGTCGCCGCTCGTAGTGATTTCGGGGTCCGGTCACTCGGAGCCGGGGATGCGACATTA